TGGTACTTCTCCAGAAAGCCTTCCCTCTTCTCACAGGACTGGGTTAGGTGCTCCTGTTGTATATTTCTGAGATATTTTGTATTTAGGCTTTTTGTAACATTTATCACACATTTTTTCATTCTGTGAATATTTAGAGAATAACTCTCGTGGGTAGGTGCTGGGTGTTCAGTGACAAAAAGACATGATGCCTGCCCTCATGGATCTTGCAGTGTAAGAAGGGAGAAAGATGGACATTCAAGAACTAATTATACTCATAATATTTTGATTATGTTTCAGGGCAGCCTGAGAGGGCATGATGAAAGACTGTGCATAATTGGAGGGATCAGAGAAGATGTCTCTGAGAAAGTGACATTTAAGCAGAGACTTTAAGGAGCAGGAATTTGTCCAAAGGAAGAATGGAGGGTGGAATGTTCTTGACAAAGGAATAGCTCATGTTAAGCAGCAATAGATAACTGGAACAGCATCCTGTTTGTCATGCAGAGAGTTGGTATAATTTCCTCCTTCCACTTTTCTTCCTTCCTGCAGTAGTACAGGCTGGAAATAGAGCAGCCAGGGTGATGAGGAAGAGGACAAAATGTGAAACAGGAGAAGCTGAGACATTGATGAGTTAATGGAATTGCTACACCACTAACTCCAGACTTCTGTTTTTTTTTTTTTTTTTTAAGTTAACCCTTTGTAGTTAAGCCACAGCAGTCATGCACCCAAATGCATTCTCCATTGATACATTATGATACATTGGTATCTACCCCTCTAGGCTGTCCCTTAAAAGCAAACCTATGTATTTATTTCACTTTACTTAACTACTGTACAGGAGCATCAGAAGAATTGACCTGGACAAATATCACTCATTATCCAGATCTTCTCTCTTCTCTTCAAATAGTGAATATATTCAGGTAGCAAGGGACTTGGCATTATCTGAATCTGTTTGGCTTCTGAGAATGGTGCAGGACCAGGCAGTGTTTCCTTATGTTGTACATAGAATTCCTGTGAGGCGAAACTGACTCACTGGCACCTAACAATAACAACATTGTTATTTGTGTGTGTGTGTGTGTGTGCTATTTTAGGGAGACTGAGTTGGACCATTTTGAGAATCTGATGAAAATTTTAGCACCTTCCTCTGAAATACACATCTGCAAGCACATGTGCATGTGTGTGGACACGCACACACACATTTGGAAAGTTTCAGGAGGTCCACATTAAGAAACCATCTGTGACTTGTGATAAAGGTAGAGATTTCAATACCATGTATTGGGGCCTTAATCATAAACTGTTTCCATTTACCTTTTCATATATGTACATTTTATCCCAATGAGCAGGCAAGGTTCCTGCAAAGGCCTAAGAATTGAGACCTTTCATGTCTCTGTATTACCCCAGTGATGGGCACATGTAGGAACCCCAGCTTATGGGAAATATTTACGTTTAATCCTTTGAAGCTGCTGTGGTTACTAAGGACAGGCAGCTTTCAACACTGTTGTTTTTGTTATGTGCCATTGGAGTTAGACCTGACTCATAGCGACCCCTCCTTGGGTTTCCAAGGCGGTATCACTACAGAAGTAGATTGCCAACCTTCCTTCGGAGGAGTGGCTGATGGGTTTGAACCACCAGCCTTCTGGTTAGCAGTCAAGTGCCTTAGGCACTATGCTACCAGAGCTCTGGCTTTCAACATGACTACCTCCTGTCCAAGAAAGAACCTCACAAGAGGACTTGGACCCTATATTCATGTTCTATTTACATTCTAGGTTTTAGGCCAAGGCATTGTTTACATACCACTCATGCAAATATCCAGTCTCGGATAGAGAACAAGGACAGGCCTAGTGGAAAACTTTATACCAAATATTGTTAAAATTTATACAGCAACAACTAATGCCAAAGATGAAGAAATTGAAGATTTTTATCAAAAAAAAAAAAAAAAAATCAATAAACATTAATAAATGGATGTACTCTTATTATCTTAAAAATGTGCAATGCCTTTGTTCCTTAGCTCTGTGCTTCATCCCACACACACATCTGAAATTAAGATCTCCTATTTGTCCTATCCCGTTGAGTTTTACTTTTTAAACAGCACTTTTGTTGGCATGTGCTTGTGAAAAAAAATTACACAGGAATAAACCTAATGCTATAGAATGGCCTGTGTTTTTTTTCCTTTTTTCTGATCCCTCCCTCCCCACTATAAATCTCAAAGAGTTTCCTTCAGCGGGGGGTGGGGGTGGGG